CCTTCTTCTTTTATCTATCTATCTATCTATCTATCTATCTATCTATTTATTTATTTTTGTGATGTTGGTACTTTTGAAAAGCACTGACCCTGATCAGGTATTCTTTAGAATGCCTCTCAATTTGGATTTGTTTGAAATTGTTCTTTCTAGATTGCGGGGGGGTGTGTTTGGGGGGAAGAACACCACAGAGGTAAAATGCTGCTCCAGTTGCATCCTAGGAGGGGGTACATGATATTAGTGTGAATTTCTATGTTGGGTGGTGTCAATAGCTTGCTTCTGTTTACTGCTAAATAATACTTCATAATTTGCATATATCATAGGTTTTCCTTTTTCTTTTTAATCCTTTCAGCAGTTGAAGGATATTTGGGTTGTTTCCAGTTTTGGAGATTATGAATAAAGCGGCTACACATTCATAGACAGGTCTCTGTGTAAACATATATTTTTTTTCTCTCCATGGATAAATTCCTAGGTGTGGGGTTGCTGGGTTGTATGGAAAGTTTGTGTTTAACTTTCTGTGAAACTGCCAAACTGTTTCCTAAAGTGGCTGTTCCATTTTGCATCCCCAGCAACAACACAGGAGCGTTCTCATTGCTGTCTCCTAACTTCTTTTGATCAGTGTTCCAGTTACTGATGTATTTAAAAATACCTTTAAGATGGGTGAGCTTTGCTGTGTGCCCCTCTTGTCCAGCCAAGAACCCGCTTCATGTCTCCTAGCCTCCGCACATCTTGTTCAGCTTTATGGAAAAATCAGCAACAACTTATTCGTTAGACTTTTGGGTCTTCTCTTCTTCCCCACTCCATTCCCATTATATTTAAGAATGAGTTAGTAAATAGTAATGGGGAGAGAAAAATGGAACTTAAGGTAACTGAGGGAGCAGCCCCTGTCCCCACTTCAGTAACATTTTACCAAGTAAGCCCTGGGGATATTTGTGTGCAAGTACAATGCTAAAGTCTTGGGTGCACATAATCCTTGAAATAATGAGGAGGAGGACTGCTTCTATCCCAATTTTATGAGTGAGAAAATGGAAGCTCAGCTGGGGAGTCTTGGTTTGACCATGGGTTTTTCTGGCTTCAGAGTAAACTCTTGACACTGCTCTAACCTGCTATCCTAGAGTCTACCTCCAGGGGTGTATTTAATAACTGGCTTCTGAAAAGAAAAATAAGGGGTGTGAAGAAGGAAAAGAAAGATTGCTTCTTAAGAACGTTGCCTGTCTTTGAGTTTTTTTTTTTTTTTTTTTCTACAGCTCTCAATTTCTTGCAAATAACTGGATGTAGAAGAAACTTGTCCTGGGAGTCAGATGACATGGGCTCTGGTTCTGGTTTTCCAGAACAACTTTGAGTTTGTTTTTGGTAAACCTTTGGTCCCTGGGTTTCCTCATCTGGAGATAAGTAGTGTATTGGATGCAAAAGGCCCTAGGACTCCTTTTGTGCTGCCTTGCAGTGGGCTGGAAGGTAGGAGAACTTCTGTAGCCACTGGGAACTCTAAACTTCTAGCACAAGGACCTGAGGGGGTGAGATGGGGGAGGAGGGGTAGCCTCTAAAAGGGCCCCTGCAGGGGTTTCCCCCCCCCCCCAAATCTTCCAGTCCTTTTATGTCCATCCTTTTCCCTCTAGAAACAGCATCCCAGTTTTACCTGGAGTAATCATTCTTTCTCTTTTTCTCAGTTCATGGGAGACAGAGTCCAGGGACAGGCAAATAAAAGCTGGTAAACATCATATTTTCAAGGGCTGGGGATATAGCTCAGTTAGTGGAGTGCTTGCCTCCCAAGAACAAGGCCCTGGGTTCAATCCTCAGCAACACAAAGAAAGAAACAAACAAACAAACAACATATTTTTATCCAACTCCACCTTGCCTCTTGACCCAAGGGGTGGAGGAGTAAACACAGGACCCAAAACAGGTTCAATTCCAAGACACTGGCTGGAGATGTTGGTGGCCATTTTGCCTCTTTGTGAGAAGTTTGTTGGAAGAAATGGAAGGAATCAAAGCTGGGTACTGCTGAGGGGACAGTTGTGGAGGACATCAGCTGAGTCCCATTGCTCCTCAATCCAGCTGTGCCTGAAGCCTTCACCTAGACTTAAGTTACCTGAGCAAGTAAGTCAGTTTGAGTTGGGTTACACTTCAGTAATGCTGTGCTCTTTGAACGTCTCTCTCTCTCTCTCTCTCTCTCTCTCTCCTGGAATCCCAGTTACTTTTGTTTAAACAAACAAAAAACATTAACTCTAAAAGCCCCATGAAAAAATGGAGTCTAAGGCAGTATTGGTTGCTACCACTCCCCGTCCCACACCCATCATAAATACTGCTCATTTACAAGACTCCTTCTCCATGCAGAATTCTTGGCAGCCTTTGCCAATCATTTGGAGCTGTGTCCAGGCTGAAGTCTGTTTTCCAACAGAGCTGAAGAGACCTGCATCGCTGCATTGTGAGTGTGCCAGTTGGAGAACCAGGAAGCCCGTTGACATCAAAGCATAGGATTAAGTTCCATGGCTTGTCCGGAGGACACTCGTTGATAAACAAAGACAGGTGCAACTTTGATATATTGGCAAAATCAAACAGTGTTAATATTTAGCTCTGAGTCTTGGCCAGAGTGGCTCCCCAGGAGGGGTCTCTGCAGTAGCCACTGAGGCAGGGAAGTCTGGAGTCTAGCTAGCCTGCTCAGGAGCTGCATGCAGCTTGGGCAGAAGCAAGAGAGGCCTGGCAGGTGCTGTCTTCACCCAGATGGCTGGGCAACCTCACATGGCACCTTCAGCGTTCAACTCTGGCCCCACACCACCTGTAAAAAACTGGCTTAAAGCACAATGGGTGGTGAGCCTGATCCTCAAGGCCCACCAGTGGGCCACTCAGGGTTCTCCCAGGGCTGTCAGCTTCGAGCACATCACGTTTTCTCAAGGCATGAACCTCCAGCAGAAAGTGTTGGTTTTTCCTAAGTTGGTGCATTTCTAATTCTGCAGCTGACGGATGCTTTTCTCACTCTCCCAGAACTCAAAATCAACTTGACATTTCTAAAATTACATTTTGAAGGGAATGAATCTATAAAGTGTACCAAGCACACATGCCAGCCGGGGAAAGAAAAAAGGAGGAAACAGAATCATTTCTGGCTCCTTCCCTCAAATGTGTGTATTCTTTATCTGTCTGCGGGGAGGCATTTTAGACCATGGAAAGTGGTCCAGGGACAGGAACTCTGCACTTCTCCAGGGGTCCACCACCATTGTGGCTCAGACTGGCCTCATGGCATGGAATGAAAAAAAGGGAGAAACAAGACTGGACTTGAGAGGGTAAGGCACCTTTGTCATCTCCATGCCAGAGCCAGGCTGTGGGCAGCTGGGGAGGGGCCCTGAGGAGGATCCCAGAGGAAGCCCCTGGCGGGCTGTCGCCCAGGCAGCAGCTGCTTCTCCTTAAACTGGAGAGGTGGTTGAGGGGCTTTGTGTGAGCCCCGATCAAAACACGCCTATCAAAAGGGATCAAGAGGCTGGCCAAGTGGACTGCAGATGGGAAGGGGAATGGAATCCTTTTCTTTTTTTTTTTTTTTCCTTTCTTTCTTTTTTACAAAAAATATAAAGAAAATTCGGGGAGAAAATGTCTCCAAGGGCAATTCTTTCCTGTTCCTTGTAGCTAAGCCTGTCCAAGCCACCACAATGCTCTCCCCTCCACCCACAGATCAATTTTAAAATGCAGCCTGTTAGTATTTAAAGTAATCCATTCAAAATAGAAGAACCCCACCCCCTGGGCAGAGCAAGCCAGGCCCTCCAGCTTCTGCTCCTGGAGGCGGCTGTGGGTTTTCGCAGCCACAAACAAATGTGACCCAGGATGGAACCTGGACCCTTAGCCAGCTTTCCACACAGGACAACTCGGTTTCAATCATGAATCCCTTGTTCCCATTGGTGACTCTAGGGTACTGATTGCTGGGGAGACGGAAACCTGGGGAAACAGGGACTCTATTCTCGGGGGTTGCAGTATCTCACGGTAGAGGCAAATGCCTAAAGCACAGGCCTGACCAAACCAGGTAGAGTGCCACCCTGGCATGACAGGAGGGCAGAACTGATGAATGCTCAAGGAGAAAGTAGACCTGGGGGCTGTACTTGGAGAGGTCCGTGGGGCAGAGGGGTCTCTGAGGGGTTCTTGAGGTGTACAGGTGTTATGATAGTGTTCCAGATGGGGTGTACAACAAGCACACAGGTCCACAGATGGAGCTTTGGGTATAAGCAAGCACTCCCATGGGTGCAAGAAAAGGTGTGAGGTAGCGCCTTGGTCCTGTATCTTGATATCCTCCAAGTCCATGAATAACAGGCTGAGGAATCTGTGAAGTGAAATGCTAACAAATGAGACTCCCCAGGGGCCTGTGCCAGCAGAGCCCATCCATCACCTGTGGATCCTTTTCTATAAGAGCAAACCTTCAACAGTCTGCCTCCAGTCCTCCAGGGAGGTTTTTAGAGGACAAAACTTATCGCTGTGGCCATGCCCTTCCATGAGGGTGCTTCTGTGAACATGGGAATTTCTGGAGATCACTTCAGGAAGCCCCTTCAGAGCTGAGGGCTGAAGCTTCAGGAGCCTAGGACAGGTGTCCTGGCCTCTCCCAGCAGATAGGACCATTTCCTGGCTGATCACTGATTCTGCTCCCACTCAGGGCCTTGAGCTCACTGAAAGGGGTGTGTATTGGCTCCTGTGAGTGTGTGTGGCCCTCACTTATCAAGTCACCTGTGACATGGGAGGGGAGGGGTGGTGCCAGCTCTGGAACTTGTAATACTGGTAGAGAGTCAGAGCTGATTATGTGCCTAAACACAAAACTGTCGCTCCCACCCCTGCCTGGGTCCCCCTAAAGTTCCATGGCCACCGGTCAGGCTGCCTTTTCTGAAAGAAAGATGTATTGGGTCCAATCAGTAGCTTCAAGGCTGCAGGTGGGACTCATCCCCCTCTTCTGTGCCACTCCAATCCCCACACCCATGGTGCCTCCCTCAACACACAACCCTGACTCCCCACAACAGACTCCATGACTTTGCATGTCAAATGTTTTTTTCTGTTTAATTAAAAAAAAAAAAAGTCACAAGAGGCTCTAGAAATACATGCTTTTAAATTCCAGCCATGAAGAGGACAAAAGAAGACACTGATATCTGAAATATGGCTGCTTTCCATAGAAAGGTTTGTGCAGCAGAGACACCCAGCTCCTCCACCAGTGGGAGAACATGTGGCCCACCAGGCAAGCGCTGTGGGGACAGTGTCTTTGGTTGGCTGGAGCTTCATCCAGAGCTCAGTGGAAGTTGGTTTGGCAGGAAGAAGACCCCCTCACACAGAGGCGGGGGTACAGGAGGACACATTAAGCTTTGTTAGCCTCCTGCTGCCGCTAAGGACTGTGGGACATGATATTTAAACCTATTACAAAGTACTTTGATCTCACAGTAGCCCAGCGACACCACAGTGGCCACGATGGGACATTGGCAGGAGAACAGTGGCCTGGACACTGCTCCTGGACACTCTTGTACTATTTGGATCCACATAGAGAACACACTAAAACCCTCTATACCAAATCAGAGTAAATAATTATACCAATATAAACAGGGCCCTTGACCCTTTTGTTTTATTAAAATGGCACGTAAATATGAAAACAGCATACTGATTGCATTATACTTCTGCTAGCCCCAGGTGAGGTGCTGCGGAGCCGCAGGAGAACTCCTTCTCAGAGGCTGCAGACTCATGCATTGAGCAACTCATGTTCTTTATCCGTTTTCCCAACAGCATCAGGATTTGATAAGGGGTCGAGGTCAGCAAAGAGGCTGAACCAGGCAGTCAGGTCCGAGGCAGCCTTGGCAGGCTCTGGGGAGAGAAGAGGAAACATCAATAAACCCACCTTCTGAATGTCTACCTCCACCATGCTGGTAGCAGGCAGTCTAACATCATCTTAAAAAGGGATAAATCCCATTACCCTGTCTCTAATGAGCCAGGAAATAGCATGTCCCTGGTTGGCTGCTTTGTTAACTTTTTTAAGCCATGGCCTGAAGATCAGTGAAAGACACAGTTCTGTGTTAACTAACCTCACCTTTACTCCAACCCCAGCTAATGACCACAGCCCACGGAGTTAGCTGCCAAAAACCTCAGACCCCTCTTGCTTTACCACAACCAGGAAATAGTTATTTCAGATATCAGGCTGAGGCAGCAGAGTGCTTTCCAGTGTGTACTGGAGGAATCCCTTCCTTCAAGTCTGCTGGGTCAGGAGAGAGATGGTGACCTCTCTCTTTACTCTTCCAAGCCATAGGTACACAGTGAGCTGTGTCCAGGGCTGGCTTCTCTTCTTCTATCAGGGTCACTACCTTCTTCTCTCACCCTCTCACTCCAAAGGAAGGAGACCCTTGATGTGCCTTTCTTTCCCCAGTGAGCTCAAAATCTCCTCATCTCCAAGATCCCTGGAGCATTCCCTTCTGTTGCTTTTCCACCAAAACACCTAACTTCCTGAACAGCACCATCATACAGTCAAATTATTTTCCACATGAGAACATTTTCAAAAGAGGGCCTCATGCAAGTGATTTCTAAATAAGTCATGGCTCTTTTTTATATAAATCATTCCACATGAGAATCTAAGTTCACTGCCTTGGATGACCCATGCTTTTCTTCTTCTCTGACAGGTGGGAGTGTCAGAGCCTGAAAAAAGAAAGCATCTCTGGGATAGGGAGTCCTTCTAGCCAAGAGCAGCTAGGAATGTGCTTACCATCTGGCTGGGAAGAGTCTCAAGAAATGTTGGTAGGGCAAGTAGCTAAACGTGGTGAAGGGATGAAAGTGTTGGGATTATATCCACAGGGACTTTGGTCCTTTCGTTAAAATGACACCAAAATGCTAAGATACTGAACTGATCTGATCACTTTAGACTTCTGATTCCTTCACCCTTTTTCCCTTCAAAATCTCTAGGAGTTATATTACTTTCTAGTGACATAATCAAAGTATCTATTACAGAAAGAAAAATACTGCCAGCAAGAATAGCTGATAATATGCAAGTTATTCCTATATGTAACCTTAATTGAATTCCATGTGGTCAGCCTCCAAAACACCTGGTTTCTTTTGCTGTAATAAACTGGTATTTGAGAAAGCTCACTATAGTTTGATTGAGGGGCAGGGAGATGTGGGAACTACTTTAAAAAAGGGAGTTTCATCTTCATCATGTAGGTGGTTATGCAAGGATACTCTATGGGGCAAGACTGATTTAGGTGGTTTAGTGTCTGTTCTTGATAGGCTGTCAAGATATCTTAAAGACATCTCCAGCGAAAATGGGTTACAAGCTCACTTCCCCTTCCTCCTACCTCTGTAAAAGATCTTAGAGATCATCAGAAAGTGGTCATGGCCTTCACCTGTGAGGAGCCAGATGCTTATACTCTGGGGACCTTTACATTCCCCAGGCCTCCACTATTGAGGGCAAAACCAGGTGTGACTTATTTGCACAACCCTTAAAAGAACATCTCAGGAACCCTTTCTGATGATGATGAAATAGACATTTTCATTTAACTTCCTGTGGCCAAAGAGAAAGTGGGTGATGACCAAAGGAACAGAGATAGAGCTGCAGATACACAAGATGATCTGTTAAACAGATGTTCTTTGTGGGCGGGTTTAGCAGGCGGGGAGCTGTCCCCATAGAGCACAGATCTCATGAGCTTAAAAGGACCTCTTTTGACAACTAAGAAACCTCCCCGTTTCTGAGGAGCACTAATTAGATGCCTTATTTGGTGGTGGTAATGGTGCTTTTAGCAAATGATAGCAAACCTCAGTGGTCCTTCCCACCTTAATATTTCCAGCCAATCTTGGGGAGCACCTGATCACATGGAGACAGATTTGATTCATCCTCAGCAGATACAATTTGACAAAGGGGATTATGAATTAGGACAGTATGCCAGGAAAAAATTCTGAATTTAATTTGTAAGATCATCTAAAACTCTTTATCCCATAGTCCTGCTTTGAGCCCTAGATGCTCAAATAGAAATTAGTAAAGAAACAGAAAATAGTGTTGGGCTGCTGGAAAAGGAGGCAACTGTCACATCAGGGGACATGACACCGTATTACCTTTCAGTGCAGGGCTGTTGTCATTTGAACTGCATGTCTTTGGTGCTGACCATGGAGTAGGAGGAGGTTTGACATTGCTCTCTGACCAGCCTAATATTCAAAACCAGAGGACATTAGATCTAACAAAAGCAGTCACACCAACCCACCAGCTGCTGGGCACATACATGGTTCTCAACCATGGTGGCTCCTAAAGAGAGGGCAAAGGATGGTATGACAAGACCCTTCTCCATGTTCCTTGCACTGGAATGCTTCAGGGGACAAGAGGTTGGTATAATCATGCCCAATTCAAAAATATGGAAAGCTAAGGAAAAGATCAGATTTTGAAAGGCACACAAGAAATTACTAAAATTTAAGCGTTTTTGCTTTTTTAGTTTTATGCCCATTTTTTCTTCCCAAATACAGTCCTTTCATGATCACACCAAAAATCATCAATAGTGCGCCGAGGAAATCAAGGCCCTTGCTTTTCTGTCAAAAATAGGGAACGCTTAAAAGAGAACACCATTATATGTGGCAGTAGCACTAGAAGACTATCCAAATCTACTGCCAATGTGGTCCAGTTCATTCATTCTCTACACAGCTAATTTAAATTGGGAGGCTTAATTAATATTGACAAATAAATGGCAGCCCAGCCCAAACATATGAGGGGAAAGAAAGTCCTCTTTATATCTTTACGCTATAACTTAAAATGGCATTTAGCTTGTGTGACTCAACATGCTGTGTGGCTCATGCGCCAAGCCTACTGATGGATGAGTGATTAGGCGGTGTTCAACACTCCTGTTCTAGAGATGCAAGCCTGATACCTTGCACCATTTACTGTGTATCCTGGATATTTCTGCAGGACTCATGTTTAATTAGAACTTTACCATATACTTATTTGTAGCTCTGCTTAAATTCTTTGTGTGTTAAGTCTTGTCCTTTGAGTGAGACAAGGAATTTTTCTTCAATGGGCTCCAAAATAGTTAACACAGAACAGGTAGACATTTGCTGATTAAGTCCTGTTGTTTCTCCCTGTAAAATGTAGACCATCAGGTTTTGTCTCGGCCTTCAAGAGAGACTTATGTTTGGATGGAAGAGTTCAGATGGAGCAGAGAAGCTAGTTTCCAGAGCAAGAAGCCACTCAGTAGATACCACAAAATTGTAGAATTTAATGCCATTTGTTTACCCTGTCATTCTAAGATTCATTCTTTGCAGAAGACTTAATTATAGAGTCTTACTGTATTTATTAGTTTGTATTTTTGTCCCCTCTCCGCAAGCCACGAGTGTCTCAAAGCCAGGGGCCATGTATTATTTCTTTTTAGATTCCTCAGCACTCTGCTTGGGGCTCCATGGGGGTTTAAATGTATGACCATTGAATTAGGACGAACTATTAATGTGTGAGGACTGCACTTCTGAAGTATTTGAAGAGCTGACAAAGCAGTACCTGGAACCCCGTAAGCGCTGTACTACTAACTCCCTGGCATACAAGCTTGTTTATGAAGACTAAGCAATGAGTAATGAAATACACAGACTGTGACCTGTTTACTTGGTCTAAAACAATGAAAAAAATATAAACGGTTCTAAAAGCCATTGCTATTCACTGAAGAGGTGCTTGAACATACCGTTAACATGATTCATAAACAACCAAAGCCACGGATGTGCAGGGAGTCTTCTGGGATGATGGAAAGGTTCTAACCCTGAGCTACAGTGACAGTTGTACAATGTACATTTATGAGAAAACTTTGAACTGTTCCAGCATATAAATTAGACTCTAATAAAACAATTTTAAAGAAATTACCAGTATTTGGTGTGATCCAGGAATAACATAACCTCCTGGTTCCTAGAAAACTGGCCCACAACCATTTTTCCTTCTGGACCCAAATCACATAAAAGTGGTAAATGTGGAAAGTGAACATTGTGGTTCCAGTGCATGCCAAATAACACCAGTCACTGGGAAAGCTGAGAGGGGTCTAATCTAACTGGGCAACACCCTTTCCACTGCAATCCTGCCCCCAAGTGCAGTCAAGACCCTGGCACTCTACAGAACCCCTGCTGCCTCTCCACTAACCCCTGCAGCCTGGCCTCATTCTCCCAGGTTGGTGGTTTTGTAAGTGTGAAACCCTCACCAGCATTATGAGCATCACCAATGAGTTCATTAGAAACGCAAATTCATGGGACAGTGCTGACCTACAGGATCGGAGTCCCTGGGATGGAGCTCAGGAACCTGTTTTAACCAACAGCAACTGTTATGTGAATGGAGTATAGGAAGCACTGCTTTAGAGGAAGCAGAAGCTGCCTACATCAGCAGATCCCTTAGGACTGTAGCAGGTCTTCGAGGCCAGAGCCAGGACCAGGAGAGAGGCCCTCCTAGGAAGCAGAAGGCCCACTTCAGGATCCCACCTTCCTTTAAGTTCTTTGGCTTGTGTTGTGCTCTCTGAGTTTGTGAAGGCACCTTTCTAGAGAGAAGTCTAGTAGTTAAGGCCAGGTGAGGGGTACAGGGGTCGGGCCTCCCTGATCTCCACATGCTATTCTGTACACTGGGAACACATCAAGAAAATGCATCCCTTTTGCAAAAACAATGCACAACACTCATTTTCAAAAACAGCTCCAGAGAACTGGAAAAGAGAGGCAGATTCAGAGGACTGTAGTTTTCAGAGTATGAAATGAAACACATTCTTCAAAGGAGACAGAAAACAATCTACATGCAAAAATAGAGTGCGACCATCCTTTGTGTACTGTGCATGTACCTGAAAAAACAGAAATAAGCAAAATCTGTACGTCATACTATATTTTGGAAGTGCCATAAATATAAACAATATTTTCAAATATATCATTTAAAGAATGTTTTCTTTATAAAGAAAACAGTTTTGTTGTTGTTGTTGCATACTTGCTGGGGTTTGAACTTGGGGCCTTGCGCATGCCAGGCAAGTACTCTATTATAGAGCTACACCCCCAGTCCACAAATGTCTTATAATTGAGTTCCTTTGTAACTACAGGTTTCTGAACACTGCCTACCCACAAGCAACATCTAGAATCCATAGTTTGGGGGGCTTCTCCTCAGCAGAGGACATGGAGGAGGATGAGCCTAAAGATCTCTAGAGACTGTTTACCTCAGCTTTTTTGCAGACACCCATGGTGCAAAGCAGAGACAACAGCCTCTTGTGCCAAGTCACATTCCCTCCCCAGAACAGTTATTAAGCATCCATCTAACAGTTTGACTATACATGCATGAAGGGATAAAACAGCATGGCTGTGACACCAGCTATTTAAATAAAAAACAAAACAAACACGAAGCTCAGCTGCAATGTCACCCTCACTCATATCACTTTTGGAAATTATTTAGGGGAAGGGTGCAATGTGGGTAATTAGGGACGGAATGCCAAGCCAGATTTCAAATGTCTTGGCTTCTGTCAGGAAAAAAAAATAAATGCTAAAGAGAACTTAGTGCTGCTAATATTCTAGTAATTGCCATCAACTGTTCTCTAGTTGGTGTTACTTGGCTGAGACGTTTTTAACACGAAGGTGTGGCAAGAAAGATGCCTCCCCATCTCGGAGGAATTGTGTCAGGAAGGATGGTGAAGGCTAGGGGGCAGGAGGTCACAGTGAGCTCTGTGAACAAAAGGACCATCTCAGCCCTCAGTTCCTTTGATATGTCAAATGTGCTACCCGTTTGCAGAAAACACATATAAAATTTTATTAGAGCAACCCTGCCCCCTTTACTTACATAAGGGAAAATATAAATTGGCCAGAAGTCACACTGGCCAGTGAGAGCTGCAGGCGAAGCCAAATCACACCACCCAGAGAAGTGCTTTGCTGTGAACGTAATTCACCAGCAGAGAAGAGAAGCAGTCCAGTCTGGGGAGCTAATCACAGCCTGGAGAGCTCGGGGGTGGAGTTGGTTGTGAAGGGCAAAGTAGGGACACCATAGTCACGATGGCTAAGCACCACCCGGCCATCCTCATTTCCCCTTGCAGCCCCAGTTTCATACCTGTGAGGGGTAAATAAAAATTCCTGCCTTATTAGGTGACTGCATGAGTAAATTGGGATTTGTGGATGAGACCAGGCAGTAGAGAGGCTAGAGAACAGGACCTCAATAAATCTAAGCCGAAACTGGGTTTTTGTGTAACTCAGCAGGCATCTGGAGTAACCCCTGAGAGCATTATGCTCAGGAATTCACATCTGAGGCTTGTTTTCTTCTAATCTAGTGTCATTTGTCAGTCCCTCTCTCTCCTTTCTTGCCTGCTATCCACCCATCCATCCAACTACCCGTCCAATAGTACTTTTTGAACATCTACTGAATTCCAGGCACTGAGCTACGTTCTGGAAATACAGTGAGGAACACAAATACCGACTTCGTTCCTATGACAACCCAGAGCAAGAGACAGAAATGAATTCGGTTTTCTAATAAGGTGAGGTAAGTGCGATGATGAGGTGTGGGGCATCATGGAAGTGGGGAGCAGAAACACCTAGCACTGACTGCTGGGGTGAGGAGGAGTCGAGGAAGGCTCCCTGGACGAAATGACACTGTTGAGCTGGAAGGATGAGGAGCCAGCCAGGTAAAGCATTGTGCGTGTGTAGGTGGGTGGTATACACCAGGACAGCACATGCCAAGGCCCCGTGGGTGGGGAGAACAGGGCACACTGAAGTTCCATATGGCTGGAGTCCAGTGTGCAGATAGAATACTCAGTTCCCCAGCAGAACAAGGTCATTAAGTCAGGGTAAGTAAAGCCTGGGTGGTATAGGCAGCTGTGAAACTGGGATCAGGTCCTGAAGGACTTTGTAAACCAAGTTGAGGAATCTAGACCATACTTGAATGGTAGAAAAGCCACAGAAACTTGCCAAATCACAAGATCTTTCTGAAGTTTTTCTGTTCCCTCAACTACAAAATGTGGTTGGAGAAGATGGTCAAGATTCCTTCTAGGGACTAACAGAGGCACTTGAATCTTGCAGGTCTCCAACAGCTGCTTTACAGATACTCCTCAGTGGGCTTAGAAAATGCTGGTACTTTGATGAAGCTGACAACTCCATTGGCTTGTGCAAGGAGTGCCTGCCTCACGTTCAAACTGTCAACACACTCACAGTCTTTTCTTTTGTATTATTCCATTTGAGTATGG